GGCCGTGCGTGGGTCCGGCAGCGGCGTCACCGCCTCCCGCGTTCCCCGCGAGGGGGTCGGAGCGGGGAAGGTCACCGGGGGCAGGGCCCGGGCCGCGGGGGTAGGGGGCGGGGCTGGTATTTTGGGCGCTGACGCGCCGCGGCCCTTTCCCTTTTTCGGGCAGGCAGGAGCCGGGTCCCTGTGGGGGAGGGGCCCCCGAGGGGGGTGACGGTTGTGTCGGTTTGTGACGTTCCAGGGCCCCCCGTGACCCGCGCGGGGGCGGGGCGTTCCCCCTTCCCCTCCCCCCCGCCTCTGGGGTCCCTGGGCACTGCTTGGATGAGCCCCTGCTGGTCCCAGTTCCTGGCCTCAAGACATTGCCTGGTGGTTGTAGTGTCTGTGTCTGCCTCTGGTTGAAGCCCAAGGTTGCAGGGAAACCCACCTGCTCCTCAGGGGCCCAGGAGGTGTGGTGGGGGGTGACATGTAGGCATCTCTTTCCAAGAGGCATCAAAGCTGGTGTAAGAGGTGATATCTTTTATTAGACCAATGAGATCTTTGCAAACAAATTATTTTATTTCTGTGCAAGCTTTTGGGCACACTCCCCCTTCGTCAGGCAGAGAGCAGAGATTGTCAAAGTTAGGTGGAAATGAAAATTCACATTACACAGGAGAACTTGAAGGTGTGGCAAAGTCTCCTGTTTGGTGTAGTTCATTCTGTCCAGGTTAGAACTTGCCCCCTGCCTGCGCTGGGCTGTCATGGTGCCCCCTGCCCCCTATTGCACCCCAAGAAAAGGCACAGAGACAGGTGAGCATCAGCCAGGAACAGGATGGAATAAGCCCAGTGCAGGTGAGGTGCAGTTGGTGGGTTTGCGCATGTGAAGAGCTGATTTTTAGTCCTCGCGCCGAGTCACCTACCGTTCATTGGGATTTCATAGTTTCTAGGGTTGGAAGGGACCTGAGCAGATCATCTAGTCCGACCCCCTGCTATGGCAGGAAAGAGTACTGGGGTCAGACGACCCCGGCAAGGTGTTCATCCAACCTCCTCTTAAAAACTCCCAGGGTAGGAGCCTGCACCACCTCTCTTGGAAGTTGGTTCCAGACCCTAGCTGCCCTGACCATGAAATAGTGCCTCCTGAAGTCTAACCTAAACCTACCCTCTGCCAGCTTGTGACCATTATTCCTGGTCACTCCTGGCAGTGCTCAGGGGAACAGTGACTCCCCCAGTGCCTGCTGATCTCCCCTGACTAGTTTATAACAGGCC